TACGCCCGAGTCCTTTCGGATTGACTCCTATTTTTCTGCAAATAATAGCAAATATAAAAACTAGCAGGAACAAATGAAAACAAACATAGGTTGAAGTTTAGAAGTAAAGTTGAAATGTGGAAAACACGTGTCAGCTTATAAAGGATTAACTTAAAAGAAGAGTTCTGTAAAACTGTCTTGAATTTATTGAAGCGAGGGAGTGAATATTAATTGTAACCATCAATGATACACTTCCAACTAGAGCCTTCTTAAAAGAGAATTTCAGCTGGCAAACCAGACTACAGTCTTGGATCTGCTAACCTTCATCTGCCAGAGTTATGACTGCTGTCCAGAGTAGAGCTGAACGGAGACAAGAAGCATCAAAAGTGCTTTCTCAATCTTTATATATAAATGTTTTTAATTAAATTATATAAATTAATAAAGTTTGTTCCCTAATTAAAAATAAGTGACATTTTAATTTTACCCCTAATTATTATAAATAAAAAGTAATCTTTTTCTCTTTCTAATTTAATAAAAATATAATAGTCCATTTTATTAAAAATATACTAAAAAATTTTTATATAAAGACAAAAAAATATTTTAAAAGACTTTTATATATAAGAACTAAGAGAATATTCAAATTTATAGATGGTGAAGTGAAAAAAAAAAGAAGAATTTTAACACATATTAATAGGCATTATAAATTAAATCGTGTGTATGACTACATATCACAATGCTCTTCAAATATGCTTTAATTTAACAACTATCTCAAACAATTAAAAAAATACTACTCTACAAATAGATCCTTTTCATTCTAGAATATAGTTTTAGTTTTTTTTTACCCCCAAAGAATATAGTTTTAGTTAAGAAGATGAGTACTGATTTGATTTTTGATTGGTGAGTTTTTCCTTAGATTTTCTTCCCAGATTTTCATGAAAGCCATTGATAGATTGAAAAAATTATAGTAATCATTATAGTCTTAAAAGATGTAGTTAAGAAAATATATTAAAATTTGGCTGGGAGTTAGAAAGGGCTCTGGACTTTCAGAGTTGACTTGTATTGTTGGTCCTCTTTAAATTTGATATACATTGATTATTGTTGTTGTTGTTCTCTTCTTCTCCATTTTTGAGTGATATATTCATTTTTTTTTCTTTGGTTTTAATTTTATTGATACTTAGCTTTTAATATTAAAGTTTCTCTACACACGTGGCCTTTTCAATATATTTAAAGCTCTTTTTTTTTTAAATGAGAAATATCAAATTTGTTCAAAACACCTAAGCTAAATCATCTACTGCAAGATTGCGCTCTCCTGGACATTATAGTGATAGGCAAGTAAACACCAAATTAATTCCACAAAAAGTATCCGTTGATGCTAAAGCATCTCAACAATGAGTTTGGAATCGAATTCCAAAATAAAATATACCCCCTTCATCTTAAATTATAAAATATTTTTAAATAAAATTTTATATATTAATAAATTTTATAAAATGCACTTAACAATTTTATTTTTTTAAAATAAAATATAAACTTTTAAAAGTATTTTTATTTAATAACATTAAACCTATATTTAATTAGTATTAAATAGAGAGAGAAAAAGTAATATTAAAATAAGTTTATTTAATAATATATTAATCTTCTCAAAGTGTCTTATATTTTAAAATGATAATTTTTTTAAAAAAATATATTATAATTTAATATGGAGGAAGTACTTTAAACCCAACGCACTAAGCCAAGTTGAGACATTTGAGATAACCATTTCTTCGTATTCACATAAAACTACCAAGACAATGACAAAACCCGCAATCAGGTAAACTTATATAGAGATCAATAATGAAAAATGATGACTTTTAGGTATTAAATAAATAAATAACTTTGAGTTATACATTTCGATTTTTTTTTTTTAAATTGCACATACATCGGTCCTCATTTTACATTAATTCCCGTGTAGGGTCCTTAATTGTCATTTTTTTTATTTTTTTGGTTTAATGTAGCATTCTTTTGCCTCAATTTATAAGATATTTTTAGAAATGATTTGATATTCCTGAAATATAAGATGCTTCTGACAAAAATAATATTCATTAATGATGCTTATTCAAATATTATCCCTCATATATTGCACTCTTTAAATAAATTTTTCTCTCTATTTTATGAATCAAGGGCATTTTCTATAGTTTATAGAGGAATTAATACTATGAACTGTTTTTAATTTTTATTATGTAGTAAGTTTAATTTTTTAATCAAAAAATATGTTATAAATTAGAACATATAGAGTACATACTGAGCACACTCATTAATGCCAAAGAGTTAACAATACATAAAAAATATAATTATATTCCCTGGTCTTTTATATAAGGTGTTTGGGATTTTTTTTTTATGTAGATTAAGAAAAGTTGTTATCAATTTAAGCGATATAAATAATTATGAAAATGTAATAAAAAACGAGGAGACACTTTGTTGTTTTGTGCAGGCTCATGATACTTTTCAGGTTATAAGAATACCATTAAAACTGCAAAGATAAAAATCGAAGTAAAAAAGTTTTCTAAATAAATAAACATATTATTTTTGAGACAATATAAATAAAAATATTGTTTCGTCACTAGCTGGAGCTTATTTATTTTTTTTAAGCCTTACAGTATGGGCCTTATATATGTGATTGGACTTTATGGTCCTATCAGGCCCAACTATATTTTTTGGGCCAAAGGCCCAATATGCTTCATCATAACCACTGCGCGCATTCGAAGGAACAACATTAACAAGAAAACGTTGCACCTACTTGATGAGAAGAAAATAATCAAATATCACCATCATGAATTCATCCAATATATATTATATATATATATATATATATATATCGCTATCATAAGCTGGGACATCAGAGGCCGTGGTATTTATGCATACTTCTAAATTTTCATAAATGACAAAATTAAATATTATAAAATTTTAATCAAGTACGTGTGCGTGTGTGTGTGTATATATATATGATATAGAATAATTAGAATTTGTGTTGTAGATGTGACAAAATTAAAGATTAAAAAATTTTAGATGCACACTTCTGAACTTTTCTTGATAAATAATAGTATGTGTGTATAGATTTATTTGAAGAAAAAAATTGATGATTTGATCCATTTGAGGGGAAAAACGTGTCAAACATGTCAATGTTAAATTTAAATTCAGGACTTCTTCCAAACCAGAAAGGTAACGTTATAATTAGAATAATTTTCCGTTGATGTCACATTTTGATTTAAATGAAACAAGTTATAAATACAGGGATACAATCTATCAATCAAACTAACATTTAATACCTTTCTTTGCTTATTGATTTGGCATGTTATTAAGGGCCCGTAGAAGTTGATGTTATCTTGTGTTATCAATGTATCAATATATATATATATATATATATATATATAATAATGTATAAATGAATCAACTTATTTTTTGTATTTATATATGCAAAAAAATTGAGTTAAACTGGATAAAAAAACTTCAAATCACAAGGTTTATTTTTTTTTGGCTAGTTTGACTTGGATTCAGTTCAGTCACAGTATCTTATTTTTTTTTTTGAAAGGTTCACATAAGAAACTTAACTTATTTTGAACAAATTAAATTAAAATTGAGGCTTGTATAAAATTTTTGTTGTTTTAGGTCATAGGAAACAAAAAAAAAAAACTATCTTGCAATTTTACATTTGACGAGGGTCACTTTATCCCCCCCCAAAAAAAAAAAAAACTGGTATGAGTTGCATATAAAAAAAAATCATATTTAAAATTATCATAAAAAATTAATATTAATAAACTATCTTATGTCTACTGCCATGTACATATGGGGACCAAAACATTCAATAACTTACGAGGTCAAATTAGGACCCTTTCTTGTCACGCGCGCGCGCGCGCGCCACACAGAAGTTTCAACGCTATCTATGACAATCAGTGTCACGACTCGTGAGACATGCATTATCAAGCGTACGTGCATTCTTAAACAGTTCAACACACACACACAGACACACAGACACACACACAGTTATTTGGATTTGAATAACCATTAGGACATCTTATTCATATCTGAGAACAAAGATTCAAGGGGAAAAAGTCTCCTAATTCGAACAAAATCACGAAAAACTTGAAGAGGAAGCTCAGTCTTGAGACTTGAGGCTTTGCTTAGATTAGAATAAAAGCTAGATCCTTACACCCACATACACGCACCCCACTCTATTGTCAAAAAATGTATTAAAACAATTAGAGAGAGAGAGAGAGAGAGAGAGAGCTATATAGCTTTCACACGTCAATCTTCTCTGATGACAAAAATTCATAACACTAATGTATTGCTTCGTGACTGACTTCACCACTCAACCACCTCTGAAAGTACCCTCTCACCCATTGAAGGATCATCACCACATTCCCACTACTATTACTCTCTTGTGTCTCCAAGGAATAGGATTAACCCGTTCTCATTGTCGTGACGATCGACCCCTTTTTCTCTCTCCATCTTGCAGTGTTCGGTGTTGCAGAGCATCGGAACATGGCTAAGAGATCAGATTTTGCACAGAAGCTGCTTGATGATTTGCGGCTGAGAAAAGAACGCATGGCTGCTTCCCAGTCTCAGAGGTCAACCCAATCCAATCAGCTTCCTATAGGTTAGTTTCTCTGAAATATCTGCATTTTCTATTTGGCTACTGAATATGCTGGAATTCTGTATGATTCATGTCTCGTTTATGATTTATGACAAGAATACTTCTCTTATATATTTATAAATAACACTGCTTTTGTTGGCTATTCTTGGTGCCATGTCCTGTGGTCAGTGAGAATAAATGTATTTTAGTTTGATTTGAGAATGAGGTAATGCTCTGTCCTTTCTTATATTGGAAGGGTTCACCACAATGTCTGTTTGTGATGTGAATTTTTTTCCCCCTAAATTTTCTCGGAAATCTTCTCTTGTTTTCTAGGCTACTCTCTCTCTGTTTTTTTTTTCGGAAATATTTTCGTGGTAGTAAGATGCATGTTTAACTACCTGACTAGCTTGCTTAATTAACAAATTTGTCTGCTATAATTAAATGAGACTGCGTAATGGGAAATAGTTCCTAAAACTTCAGGATTGACTTCCCATTCAGGCCTGCCCAGAATTGGTTTCTGAATTTCTGATGGTTATTATTAATATTTACGAGCCTGTATAGGTCGAAATTCTGAAGAAAAAGTTCAAGAAATCGTTGACAGAGTTGGCAATTCTTTCTTGGACTTGCAAAATTAAAAAAATGAACAAAAGTCAATTTACAATCCTATATATGTTAAAATTCTGAAGACAAAGTTCAAGAGAACATTGACAGAATTGGTATTTCTTTCTTGGAAAGGAGAAAAGACCAATTTTATTTTTTGGGGGTCCCTGTAACGTTTATTGTGCCCTTCTAATTAATTTTATTCATCAGTATTCCCCCCAGCGTTTTGTATTCTATTTTATTACTCTTTTCAAATAGAGACACGAGAGTCTTTTTTTATCTTCAAAATCAATATAATCATTTCACTCTATTTTAGTTTGTATACCAAATGAGCCCTACAAGATAGCTTATGTTACACTATTCTAATATTATAAAAGTCTATGATATCTATACGTGTTCTACAGATGCATATACCTACTCGAAGCAAACATACAGAGGATCCAGGAATACGAAAGCTGGTGAAGCTGTAAGTCATTATACATTTATGTACATTGAGCCTGAATTAAAGCAGGTTGCTTGAAATCCGTTATTGAAATTATTTCATGGTTAGCAGGTTAGTTCCAGAACTGGAGACATGCTAAGCAGGCCTAGTAGCAGAAGCCATAAAACATCAAACATTGGAGAATCGTCCGATCAGATTGTTGTGTACGGAAGAGGTCAGAGCTCAGTGCAATTGAATGATATATCCCTTGCTCTGGCTTATGCATTTGAGAATGGAGGAAAACTGAGAAGAGCTGATTCTTCTTTCGCTAGTTCAATGATGGGTTTCCTTCACCAGATTAAAAGGGGAACGGGGGAGTACAGCAAGATGGGAAGAGGAAGCAATCTGGAGACGCAATTGGCTGCAGCAAACCACTTCCCTACTTTCTCTCCTGGGCAGATCAATGAGATATCCAAAGGCGTACAGAAGTTAAACCAGATATTGAGAGCCTGCTCCAATGGTGTTCTTAACATGGATAGATACTCAATAGAATTTGCAAAGGAACTATTACAAGGAGCTATGGATTTGGAAGAGTCTCTGAGGATATTAGTAGACCTGCAGAAAAGTTCAGATCCCATGAAGAACTCACAGAAGAAAAATCGGATTACATTGATAGAGGAGGACAATGATGATTATAGTGATGACAGAACAATCGTGGCTTCTGAGCAAAGACAACTGGCACCACCAACATTCTCCTTCGACAAGTCCTCGAGGCATTCTCATAATGTTCAAGATGTTGGAAAGACTAGTTTGATGCAGAGGCAACTTGCTCTTACTTACTCTAAGGAACACAGAAACTCCAGTAATGAAAAGCAAGCTGTTAACATGTCAAAATTGCTTCCCCACAGGCAATCAACTAGCTCCATTCCTGACAATAAGAATTTCAACGCCCTTTCAGGACAGAAAAATCAGTCGGCTTCAATGAAATCCAATAAAGAGAAGGCCAGGATTCCAAATGTAATTGCCAAATTAATGGGGCTAGAGAAAATGGAATCAGGAAACCCCTCTCAGGATTCAAATTCTACACAGAAAATAGAAGGAACTGCATTCAGGCATACTGCACCAGGAAGTGCCAAGAAGATTGAATTGAAGAGCCAAAAAACAGAGAATTCAGTACCTCCAAAACAGCAAAAAATGATGGAACCTGTCATTGTGCCAAAAACACAGGGAAAGGAGCTGATGTATGTTGCAGATGAAAAGATCATCCAAAAGGCTAGCTCTGAGGTGGCTACGAAAAATGGAAAAACACTATGGAGGGAGTTGAATGAAATAAAAGCATCCAAAGGATTAGAGAAGGGCACCCTCAAAGTAGAGAAGCAGCAGAGTAATGCAGATAAAACGAACCTCAATAGAGAAAGTGGAAAGGATGCTCAGGCCAATGGAAGAAAACAGGTTGAGGCAACTAACAGAGAAAAGAAGTCACAGTAAAGGGAAGAACCAATGATTTGCTTCTAAATAACATGCTATCCCAGCTGGAACAGGCTCACGAAAGATCAGAAGTTGACTCTTCATTGCAGGAAGAAAAAGAAGGCAATGGAAATCTTATCCAATCAGTAAAGAAACACACAAACAAGAAGGATGCAACTAATCAAAAGAAGTCCCAGAATCACCTTGGAATTCAAAAGCCTTACGCGCTCTTAAAATATCGGCCACAAGAAGAACAACAGCACAGAGAAAAGCAGCTCCAGCATCGTGAAAAGCATATCTTAGAGGCAAGACTACAAAAAGGGGGCGAAGCAGCTTTGAAAAATTCATCAAAACCCTCACATGACCTGACCAATTCCCCGAAGAAGCAAGGTTTCCGAGATGGCAACTACAATGATCTAAATCATGACGAAACTTCCATCGAGTTCAGTGCGAAAGTGAAACAAGTGAACAATAGGAAGCCAGGTCAAATTACCTCTCCAAGAAACCAACAATGTGAACCAGTTACAGGAAAGCATGGCGTCACAACAATGACGGATCAAAAAAGTGTTCATAAACTAACGAACGAGAAGGTAAAGAATACAATAAAGAAAAAAGCTTATGCTAAGCTAGAAGTGAGACAAAGAACATCTGAATCTGACAAATTCAATTTATCAAAGGAAGCCAAGCAAGAAAGGGTTAGCATTTTGAAAGAAGCAGATGCACGCATCATTAGCTCCAACGACTTAATTTCTATCATTGAACCATTGGATGTGATACAACAACCACATCCAGAAGCAGAACTCTCTCCTACATTGTACGCTTCTCATGGTGGGAAAGTTCAAAGCCTACAAGAATCAGTAGATTTGGTTCCCGATAATTTGGTAAGATTAATTTCTTTAGCATCTAAAATTGTCTTATTCAATGGCAACTTGAAAATAATAAAAGAACCTAAGTAGTTATAGAATTTCTTCCCAAATAATAACAAAAATAAAGCTAACATAATCCTTGTTGCAAATGATGCAGTATCAGTACGTCAAATTGATGGCCACTAATGACAAGCAACATGTCGCCACTCTTTTGGCAGTAGATGAAAAAATAGAGTCTTGTGACTCTGCACCAACTACAATAAACGGTGAGTTTATGGATGACTTTCTTTTAAAATAAGAAGTTATCTACTCTTCTAGAGTTATAACTTACATGGCCTAGTAGATTAAGAGATTACAAAAATTTCTTACCTCCTCTAAGCGATCATCTTCGTTCATTCATCATATAGCCATAATCTTTTCAATAAAATCCATCTTGGGTTCCTTCTCTTCTTTCTCATTTTGGTAGATACATTTCTCAAAAGTCAGAACTAGACCAACACAACTTCTATCAAAGTGTCACCGCCAAATTTCACCAAGAAATGTATAGATTAAACAAAGTCATACAAAGTTATATACAACGACAATAACAAGCCTTATTACCTGGGGTCAGTTACATAGATTGTACGATGCTATTATAATCTATCAATCATGCACTCTTTAGATATATCATTCACCAAAAGTTCCTGTTTGATAACTACTTTAGATGTTTTTCTTAGTCTTCCTCTATCTCTCTTAATGTGACCTGAAAAATCAAACAAAGCTATATAGTTGAATTATTATTTTTATATACCACAGGAGTTCACGGAGAGAGGATGGACATAAATTACCATTCACGAAGGCAAGGCCAGAGAATTTCTGAAAAAAGAATGCTAGCGCCACTTTCTGAAAGTGAAAACTGCCTCAAATGGATCTTGATCACGAGTCAACCATTCCTCAACACAGCAGAAGCACTTTTCAAGCTAAACATTCCATTTAGCATTCTTCAAGGCTGTGGTGGAGTGGACAATCAAGATGAAGAAGGCAGCAAGCTTATATTAGACTGCAGCTATGAAGTGATGAAACGCAAGGGGATACGGCAAGAACTCAAAGTCCATTCTTGCTCAAAGGCATCAATTAGTTCCATTAAAATAAGCTCATTAGATGATTTGGTTAGGCAGCTGAATGATGACATGGAAAAGCTGAAGTTTTATGGAAGGAATAGAACTTCCCCAGTTCATGTTGAGGACTACCTTCCTAAAATGCTTGAAAATGATGTCTACAAGAAGTATCCAGACATAGACTGTATGTGGGATTTGGGCTGGGACCAGGAAACATTTGCATCCCTCGAAAAATACGATGTCACAAGGGATATGGAAAAGCATATCCTTAATGGACTTTTGGATGAGATCACACGGGAACTTTCGAATGTTCAAGGAGTAACAGTTACACATTCAGCTGTTCTAATCCACTAGGAGGCCTAAAAAAAAAAGGACTTTCATTTTTTATAGGGAGTAGGGACTTGGTTATTACAACTTTTCTCATCTACATTGATTTCTGCTTTGCAGTCTCACATAAACTCTCAAGGGTATTGGCGGTGCCCCTTTTTTGTGAAGCAAGCCATTTGTTTTTATTTTGAGGGGTCAGATGAATGAACATTCAGGTTTTGCATGCTGAATTGAGTGCATTGTACTAAATATTTACAGAGAAAAATATGGAATAAATTTTGATATGGTGAACAAAGTGTGCAAATTTTCTATTAAAAAAAAGACGAGTGCAAATTTTGACGTTGATGTTTAGTCCCGCTGTTTAACATGATTTTCCTTTGGGAATATGATTGTGTCAACCATTTATTGATCACATTTTGTTGTAGTGTATCTGATGAGGTTTCGACACTTTCCGATGAAAAACCCTGTCTAATTGGTCAACGTCAAGCAAGGAGGGGGGAAAAAAATCTTACATGCTTGTGACAGCGTCAAAGCAAGCTAGTTAATTTTCCAAGATATTGGCATCATAAAAACTGAATCTAATTAAATCATATAAGAATTCCATTTATCTAATTACTTAATACAACATCAAGCAACTACATGCATTTGGGAACAAGCTAGCTAATTTACAAGATAAATAGTAGTTGAACATCATACAAACTGAACCTTGCTAAAGTGAATTCTACTGACTTCAATTACGGATTTGGCTGGGAGGGATCAGCACGACTCAGACGTTTCTTCCTGTATCTCCATGCAACCTGAATGCGAGTTGCAGCAAGGCTCCTCCAATAAGGTGATTCATACCTACCATCATTCACTATCAAGTTACTATGTAGGAATGGATTGTAAGACAAAAAACGGCTTCGCCGAATATACATAACTTGAAAATAAACTAAACAAGTATTTCACCATCGAACTAGTCTACGTATACTACAGTTATTTCTGTTAAAATTTATTGGTTGGGCAAACCACTAAGTAAACTGTAATTGATCCCAACATTTTAAACGGGACAAGTTGCATCATATATCATGTGCACCAATGCTGATGTGCATAATACTTAGCCTTCACTGTAAATTGAAAGATAATGGTAAAGCATAGAAGGAAAGATCACCTTATGGCTCCTTGAACACGCGCATTTCTCAAGAACCTGGTAAAAAGGCTAGTGACCTCTTCAAGGTCTGCGTACCGTAGTGAAAATGCCTCCACATTTGTCAAGGAACGTACAGTCCTGCTGCTGAGCAATCTTTGTCCAGGAAGCCTTACTTTTTTACCATCTGCAGGGTATACCATATTAATTTCTTACTGCTATACATTATAATAAAACTATTCATGCGTTTTCTCTCAGCAACTTAAGCTTTTGAGCAGATGTATTCTTAAGCTTTCACATTTCAGGCTCAAGAGTGTGAAGAAAAAAGTGTTAGGGATAATAATAAAAATATTCATGTGACTTCACAAAATAACTTGTAGCTTTTCCGTTGACAAGGTCAGCACTTAAAATCAATTAATAAGATTATGGTGTCTTCATCGTACCTCTGTTCACCGAAGAATGTTCCAGACACCATCTCAGGAGCTCTTCACCGCACACATCCCCTTCAGCTAGGGGAACACTGGTCCCATCATCTCCAATGCTCTCCAATCTTCCACGCACAACAAACACCATTTTGTCTACCAGACCACCATGATACAGAATATTGCTTCCTTTGATGTATGTTTTCTGTCTTAGTCTCTCACAAATGGCATCTAAGATAGGTTCATCCATCAGGGCAAAAATTCGAACCTGTGCATGTTTTAGATAATTAGAATATGATGAGACAAAACAAAACACAAGGAGATAGACCTAAAGAAGAAGGTTTTTCAATGAACCATACATCTGAACTACAGGTATGGTGGGTTTAAACAGAATGAGTAGGATAATCTGATACAAGTTATGACTAGTCAATTGAGCAACAGATAGTCATGTGCTCACTTTCTTAACAAATTTGAAGAGATGACGTCTAATGTCTCTCTGAAGATCCTCTGGCAAACTCTCCAGAAGCATTTCTTCATTTACCCCTCTGGTTGCAGCCCAATTATATCGTTCAGCCAGTATTACTCTCCTGCATAACAGACCAATAATATGAGCAGAATTGTGTACTACTTGACAATATGATCCATAAATTTGTGTGATCATGATTACCAAAAGAGACAAACAACAACAACAAACCTTATTCCACTAGGTGGGGTCGGCTATATAGATTATATAACGTCATTGTACTCTATCATTTATTAAATTTTTAGAAATATTGTGAATTAAAAGGTTTCGCTCAACAACCTTTAAAAGTATTCTCTTCGCTCTTCCGCTACCCTTCTTGACAGGGTTCAAACTCATTTGTTTTACTCTCCTCACAGGTGTCTCTCGTGGTCTTCTTTGTACATGTTCAAACCACCTTAAACGGTTTTTTGTCATTTTTCCTTCAATAGGTGTCACGCCAACTTTTTCTCGTATTCGCTCATTTCGAATTGTTTTTACGTGTATATCCACACATCCATCTCAATATTCTCATCTTTACTACTCCAACTTTATGCTCTTGCTATCCAGTCAAAGTTCAACATTCACTACCATATAAAATTACTAGTCTTATAACAGTTCAATAAAACTTTCCTTTAAACTTATCAGATACCTTATAATTGCAGATAACTCCTTTAGCATTTTTTCAATTAAACCACCCCGCTTGTATCTTATATGCAATATCTCCATCAATTTTTTCATTTTGTTGAATAATCGCTCCCAAACATCTAAATTTTTCCACTTGAGGTATTGTCTGATCACCCAATTTCACTTTCAAGTTACTACCCACTAACCCCTTATCAAAATTATAACGTAAATATTCTGTTTTACTCCTACTCAGGCGGAAACATTTTGATTCCAATGTCTTCTTCCATAACTCAAATTTACAATTTATCTCTTCTCTTGTCTTTGCAATAAGAACTATATCATCCGCAAAAAGCATGTATTTAAGAATTTTCTCTTGAATATGCTAAGCCAAAACATCTACTACTAGATCAAATAAATAAGGACTTAAAGATAATCTTTGATGCAGTCCAATCTTTATAGGAAAATATTTTGTTTTACCACCAAGTGTTCTTATACTAGTTGTTGCCCCCTCATACATGTCTTCTATAGCTTGAATATAGGCAACCCGAACACTCTTCTTTTCCAATGCCTTTCAAAGTACTTCTCTCAGTATACGATCATAAGCTTTTTACAAATTAATGAAAACCATATGTAAATTTTTACCTTTACATTGATACTTTTTCATTAATCCCCTTAGCAAATAAATCACTTCTGTAGTCGCCCTCCCTGGCATGAAGCCGAACTGATTCTCAGAAATAATAGTTTCTAATCTCAACCTATGCTCAATCACTTTTTCCCATAATTTCATAGTATGATTCATAAATTTAATCCCTATATAGTTAGCACAATTTTGAATGATTACCAAAAGAGATGAATAAAATAGTTGACATGCAAATTTCTAATTGTTCATTTTCTTTTATTGCACACAGGTATCCTCCTCTATTGGAAACAATTCTATTTGAAGCATAATCAAACACTAAATATAAGAACCTCTCCTCATGGGAATTCAAACCTTGGTCCTAGGCACTCATTTTTATCAATATGCTTTAGCAAGGAACAATCGACAGCTCTTCAAATGGGTGCATTGACAATGATAATGTCACCAACCTTGGTGGAGATGGAATGTAATTCAGGAGACAAAAATAATTGCAATGCATACTAGTAATGTTAAAAAAAATTAGAAAAGTAATATATATGGGTTCACTTTGGTTGAATAGGTCAGAGTTTAACTTCTCTGCATCTTTTATTTATAGTCAAAATAAGTCCCAGAAAAAAAAAAATAAACAATCACTAAAATTAAGCAAAAACAAAGGCAGAACAGGAAACAGCAATCCAAAAGGGCCAACAACATGATCACCGGTAATATGAATAAATAATACAGTATATCAGTGTTGTTTACTCAGTGAAACATTCAATTTGACATGATAAAAAAGGATATTAATTGCATCACAGGTTTGCTAGATTGTTCTCAAGTCTCAACCATTATTTCACATTCATTGTTTGACTCTGTTATCAACAACAAATATACTACAATCTACATAACAGTGATTAATCATATTTAACACACTACAAACACAAGTACTTAATAGCATTTAGTAGACAGACATGGAGATACTGGAATAAAATTCATTTAAAAGGTGTTCTTGAATTTTCAGTTGCTTATCTAATGAGTCTTAGCCATAACATTTCTTATCTTGGAGGGGAGGTTGTTTCTTATGCACCCAATATTTACATTGTCAAGTGGAGTTTCGGGAAAGGGTGCAGAGTTAGCAAGCAACAACTCGAATCAAATGAATGACATTCTTTGGCAATCTGAAATGATGAAGAAAATGGATACCTTCTTAAATCTTCTGGCAAGCGCCGGTGGCTCATCCATTGTTCCACATCACGACGTCTAAGTGACATTTCTAGCCTCCTACAAAAGGGATGGAAGAAAATTTAGCAAGCATAATATAATCATGCATACATCTGAACTTGACTAAGAATGACGATGGGAAGGATGCAGATAGGGCACTACAGCGCCCATCCTGAATCCATATTTAGTGGGTAAAAAGTTCCTTATTACCCTTGAATCCATAAATCTTTGGATGCAGATCCATTTACCCAAAAAATATTTGAAATGAACCAATTTTTCTCAAGTCAAGACTAATTTACATAAAATTGCTCGTATGTAATATAACAAATAATTGAGTGTCACAAGCAATTTTTAATTTAAAAGCAACATAATTTTATTTGAATGGTAATTTTTTAATTTTTCTGCTGTATTAAATTAATGTAATTAATTAACATAACTAAGTGTGTGTATCAATGACACACACACAAGAGCCTGCAGAACAGGTATCATGCTATCTGAGCCCAGGGCCTTCAAATACCCACAAAAATCTCAGTACCCAAGCCCAAGTGGGTAAGTTTTGCGAGTGGTAAGGGCATAAATACCAATTTATTCTCTAGTGGCCTAGCCAAAATCAGCTAACCCTCCTTTAGTTGAAAATGTGTCATTCAACACTCATGTTTCCTTCAATTACCACTGAACCAATTTGCGGTATTTGTCTAAGAAACTTGCAGTTGAAATTAAGAGGCATTCACGTCATGCACGTGTAATTTGAAGAATCCCACAGTCCTTGAGACAAATGTTCAAATTG